AGCAGTAGGAGGCAAATAAAGTGAGAAAAACACAGAGACAGAAAACAATTCAAAATGAGATGAGTTTTATATAAAATGTGACTAGTGGGGACTTAACTTGGGAAGGCTACAAAGAGCGAAGAGACACCAAGTTTCCATTGATCCTGACTTTTATATTAAAGTGAACATAACTTTAATATTCACTAATAATTAGTAACATCATGTGTACTAATTATAACTCTGCTTTTTTCTTAGTTTTCTCATCCACCACTCCCATTGCTAAGAAACATCAAATCTATTGTTTTCTTAATGGGCACCATTAGTCACCAAAAATAAAAACTGGAAAGAATGGCCCTCTTTCATGGAAAATATACATTGTGCTGGCACTTGGAGATTACCAGTCTATAGCTACGGATTCAGACTGTATCTGGTAGATCAGAAGCACTGGCATCACCTGAAAGCCTGTTAAGAATCCTGGGTCCCACCTGACACTGAATCAGCATTTTGAACAAGATCCCCACATGATATGTCTGCATATTAAAATTTGAGAAGTTCTACAAGTTTCAGGTTCATTTGATCTCAGGTGCGGCCCTGAGATCAGTATTTTTTTTTTGATTTTGGTACCAGGGATTGAACCCAGGGGTGCTTAACCACTGAGCCACATTTTCCCATCCCTTTTTAAAATATTTTGTTTAGATACAGAGTCTCACTGAGTTGCTTAGGGGCTTGCTAATTTGCTGAGGCTGGCTTTGAACCTTTAATCCTCCTGCCTTAGCCTTCTGAGCCACTAGGATTACAGGCATTTGCTACCATGCCTGGCCAAGGATCAGTATTTTATGAAAAATCTCCAGGCAATTCTGATGTGCAGCAGAGTGAAGAACTGAAAAACTGGTCTAACCTCATTTTTCAAATGAGGAAACTGTGGTCCATAAAAGCTTATGAATTTACCTGCAAGTTCCCAGCTATTTAGTATCAGAATCCAAATAATGGTACCTCTCCTCCTTAAAAATAAAATAAAGCATTTCCTGTAATTTGGATAAATGTACCCCAAAGGGTGCCAGTTTATGGTACTGTTGGGGGATGGTAGAACCTTTAGAAAGTGGGGTCTTGAGGACAGAAGTTAGACCATTGGGGGACATGTCCTTCAAGGAGATATTGGGTCCCTTCCTTCTCTTTCTTTGCTTCTAAGCTGCCATGAAGTGGACAACCTTCCTCTGCCATGTGCCCTTACTACTGTGCCATCACAGGCCCAAAGCAACAGAACCAAATTATCATGGACTAAAATCTCTGAAATAATGAGACAAAATAAAACTTTTCTTCCTTATAAGTTGATTACCTCAGGTATTTTGTTACAGTAATGGAAAGCTAATAAATAGGACCGAGGGTACAGAGGTAGGGGAATGTGGTTATGGGGATTGTTATTTTATATATGGTGGGTAGGAAAGGCTTCCTTAAGGAAGCAGATACCTTAGGAAAGAGGAAGCCAGTAACATGGATAGCTGGGAAACTATTCTAGGCAGATGAAGTAATAAGCTGGTATGTGTGTATGTGTTTATTTCCAAGGTCCTGACAGATATTAATCTCTGGAATGTAGAAAAAGTATCATCTTCCTCTTCTCCTTCTCCGCCTCCTCCTCCTTCTTTTTCCACTTCTTCTCTTGCTTCTTTGGGATTGAACTCAGGGTCTTGCACATGCTAAGTATAGGTTTCACCACTGAGTTACACCTCTAGCCCTGTCAGTTATTATTAAAATATTTCCAACTTTCTTCATAGTCTTTGCTCATATGACTCTTTGAAGCATTAGTTTTAAAAATAAGAGCTTCTAAATTTGTGTTTATAAGAATTGTTACCTGTAGTAAATATTCAATTGTTGGAAAACATAGGGAACATCATGGGATAAATATTTGAACAATATAACTGGTAACTAAAGAATGTTGATATAGAGGTGAAAGGAAATAATAGCATTTTTGGAGGAAACAACTGAAGTTTGGGTACACTGAATCAGGATAGCCCTGTTCCCTACGGTAAGCACAAGAGAAGTATTTCGTAGGGGATTTTCACAAAGAGTAGTTTTCAGAGACAATTCATTGACTGGAGGAATCCTAAATTGCAAACCCATTCTGATTGGCAAGTTAACTAGGGTACTTCGAGCTGAGAGATGTTGAAGGCCAGTGAATAATGCCTTAGTTGTTATTCCAGTATGTTGGAACATTCTGTGCTTTGACCTTTAGCTGATGTGAGTATAATACTCCCCAAATCTCCAGATTCCCCTTTAGAAAGTCTTAGCTTTAGTTGCCTCACTTTTCTTTCTTTATTTTTTTGTGGGGTAGGGTACTGGAAGTTGAACGTAGGGCCTCATGCATACTGGGCAAGAGCTGAACCACTAAGCTATTTTCCCTCCTTCATTTTCTTTCACATGCAAATCTACCAGTGAGATTTGTACCACACTAGAATCAGTACCAGTACCACACCAGTTAGAATCATGGATTGGAACTTTCTAATTTAAGGACTTGCTTTAAATCCCAAAGCCATTTCTTCAAGCACTGCTTAAAAAATTTATATAAAGTGTAATGTGAATATCAATTTATTAATATTTATTTTATTTGCAAGAATGATTCACTGCCAGCAGCAGATAGGACCAGGAACATACACTTATAACATGGCATTAGTTACAAGCAAGACTGACAGATTAGATTGTGACCATGCTTCTCTCACATGCTTCTGTCCTGGTTTCTGGAAATGTTGACCTCAACTTCTGACTCAGAGTGTCAAGCATTTCTGCTCTTTATTCTGACTAAGGTTTAGTGAATCTCTTGCATAACATCTGTATGTTGGCTGCTAAAGTTTAATTCTCATAGGAGAATTAGAATACTTCCTCTCATTTTCTTGATTTCTCAACTTTTTAAAAATTTGGGATTTAGAAAAGTGTGAATTTCCCAAGTAGGGCTGGGAAGAAATTCCTGCATAGAAACACTAACAATGAGGGCAGTGAGTAACAGTTTGATCATTTAGGACTCCTGGGCACTGTAAGGATTCTAAGTGAAACAGAGCAGAGGAGTAACTTCATTTGACAGCTTTTAAAATTATTATTCAAGCTGCTGTATTGAAAGTAGAGTAAGGGAGTTGGAGGCCCCTTGAACAACAACAACAAAAAGTCATCACAATCAACACCAAAAAACAAAACAAAACAAAAAAACCACTACAGAATGATATAGATATCATTATCCTAAGTATATGTATGAAGACACCAATGCTGTGAATATACTTTATATACAATCAGATATATGAAAAATTTTGTTCTATGTGTAATATGAATTGTAGTGCATTCTTCTGTTATATATAACAAATAAGAATAAAATGATAATCTTAAAACAACAACAACAACAACAAAACCAACCAAACAAACCATTAAAAAACCCCACTACAGTTAGATTACTGCAAAAATCTTTATGAGAGATGAAGGCACTATGGACCAGAATGGAAACCTTGAAGGTTATGAGAATTGCTTGGATTCTGGATATATGTTGAATGTAGAAAGACTTTATTACAAATTATGAGAGGACAAGGAATTGAGGATGACTCCAAAGTTCTTGTTCTGAACCTGGCAGGATGGAATTATTGTTTACTAAGATAGGGGCTGGAGTGGGGAAGTAGTTTAATTTTTTTACTTTTTAAGTTTGAGATGGTTCTTACACACCCAAGCAGAAATGTTAAATACACAGTTAGATAAAGGAATCTAGAAGTCAGGGGAGAAGTCTAGACTGGAGATAAAAATACAGATTCATCAGCATGTGGATGGCATTTACACCAGAAACCAGCACTGTCCTAGATTATAGCTGTGTTCTTCCGGCAATTCGCTTAACCTATGCCTATTTGCTCCACTGAGAAAGACTGAAAAAAATATACATTCTACCTACCTAAAATAATGAGGACAAAGGGGCCATGAATGTGAGAATGGTTTGTAAACTGTAAAGCACTGTCTAGACTGGAGAGTGGAATGCAGCAGAAATTTGATGGTACTAGGGATGAGAAAAATCAGTTTAGGGTCCAGGGAAAGTCTTAATGTGAAAGACCCCAGCCCAACAACCTCAGGCCTAGTTGCAAAACCACCAGGCATGTCACAAACCTATGCAGGCACCAGAGGTGTTTTTCAGATAATTAGGTCCCAAGGCATGCCTGAATAAGCAGGAACAAGAGGACCAGAGTGCAAACATGTAGCTTTTATGTTTTTTCCAGTAACATAAAGTGAAAAACAACTTTGCCCTTTAGGTAGCCTATATGCTGGGTTTAAAATTAACTACTAAGAAACCTATTGCTTCCCCCGCCTGAAAACTGCCCCTTTACCCTATAAAAATCTCTGTATCCCCAAGCCCGGTGTGCCAGTTCACCAAAGCTCCGGCTGAGGTTCTGCTGGGCACCCGCAGGCGCCTGTGTCCCAATAAATCACCTCTTGCTTATTGCAGCCAGTGTTTCCTGTGATTCTCCTTGGACAGGGAAACGGGGTCTTTTCAAATGAACTTTAAATTAGAAAAATTGAAAATAAAAGGTGCAAATAGCAATTATTATCCTTTTTGGACTATGGCCCAATCTGTGCAAAACTAATATTTAAACAAACTTACACAGCACCCAAAATTTACCAAGAGCTTCAGGTTCATGACCTCTTTCAGCTGTACAAGACTTAAAAGGCAGGAATAATTATCGCCCTCATTTTATGGTGGAGGAAACCAAGATCAGAAAGGGTAGTTAGCTGGAAAGAAATCATGAACAGGGACCCAAAGCCCAACAAACAACGGAATTATCCCTTCTGAGACCAGCCTAAATACGAACAAACTATTCCCCAAACACAACGTTGGCTGCAAAGACAGAAGACAGCAGAGCCCCCCCACAGCTCTTCACCGTTGCCGGTTATAGCAGTCTTCCTCGCTGCCCAGAACCCCTACGTCCCATTTCTGGATGGTATGCTCCTTTTCTCTTATCGCGAGACTAGGAGCGTCCTGCTTCTGGTTGCCAGGGGAACAGCGTTTCCAGAGGCAGAAGGGCTTTGAACCGGTCGCATCTTCACCCCCAGAGGCTGCGTTGGCGGGAAAGACTCCTCCCCTTTGGGGAGAAGTGTGATACTGAGTGTGAGCGGGCGCATTTTTGAGCTAGTCGGTTCCCTAATGGCTGGCGGTTAGCTCTGACATCCCGCCAAGAAGGTGAGGGACAGCACAGGCCACTGGCGGAACTCGGTCGCCATTACCAGCAAATGAGTGGGCGGCGCCGATTCGTGTCAGGCTTAGGGACAGCAGGCAGGGCCAATGAGAAGGCGGGAGGATTGTGGGGCGGGTTCCGTCCCAGGGCGGGCCAAGTGGGGACCAGCGGGCGTGAGCCTCTGGGACTGATGTTGCGCTGGGAGCTGGGAGTGTTTTGTCAGGATTTCTTGGACCTGGCAGTGATGTCCTGAGCGTTAGGACTCCCACGCCATCTAAGCCAATAAAGAGCTAGAACTAATCCGTGGTTTAAACTAGACCGTAAACGGCAAAGGATGCAAATAGACATTTCATAGAAGAAAAAAATAAATGAAAATAAAATGAAGGCCAGTAAAATTTGACTAGAGACTCAACTTTTCTCATAACTGAAGGAATGTAAATCAAACTAACAGATGCCTTTGGACACCTCTCAGATTGGCGAAGATAAAAAGGGTTTGATGAAAACCAGACTGGCACCAAGCAAATGTGGAGAAGCTTATTCATCTTATCACAATACTCTGTTGGTGGTAGTGTAATTTGGTACATTTTTTTTTTTTTTTTGAGCACAATTTGGCATACTATCAAAATTGAAACACAAGTGGCCTTTGGTGTAGCAATTGTAATTTATCTTGTGAATGAGCATAATTAAAGACTGGTACAAGGATAGTAACTTAAAATTGAGGTCTCATTTACTTATGATAGAATTCACCTTTTTAATGCATAGTTCTAGGAATTTTGACACATACAGTTATGTAATTACCACCCCCCATATCCAGATACAGAACAATTTTATCATCCCTTCCCAAATCTTCTAGATCTCTCCTAGTACTCTTTGTAGTTAATCCCTTCTCCAGTCTCATTTAACCTATTAACAGTTTTCTGTCCATAGATTTTACCGATTCCAGAGGGTCTAACTGGTGGAAGCAAACACTATGTTGCCTTTTGAATCTGGCTTCTTTCACCTTAGCGTAAAACACGGTGGTTACTCTTTTATGTTCTATTAGTTACTTGTCCTCTTTTATTACTGGGTAGTATTCCCTTGTGTAGATGTACTGAAGTTTGTTTATCCACCACTAGTTGAGAAAATTGTTTTCAATTTTTTCACAATTTTTAACGAAGCTTCTATAAATATCCACATACAGGTTTTATATGAATATACTTTTTCCTTTCTTGTGTAAACATGTAAAGTATGTTTTTAAGAAACTGACAGTTTTGCGAAGTGACTGCCATTTTATATTATCACTAACAATATATGATTTCTGGTTGCTCTCTAACTTTGTCAATACTTGGTATTGTCAGTTTTTTTTTAAATTATTTTTCTCTACTCAAGTAGGTGTGTTGGTTCTAATTAGAAACATTCAGAGCACTGATAATGTTGCACATCTTTTCATGTGATAATTTGCTATTTGTACATCTTGGATGATATATCTGTCCAAATCTTTCCTTTTCTTGATGACTGTTGATACTTCTTTATATGTTTTGGAACCAAGTTCTTTGTCAGATATGTATTTTGCAAATATTTTCTCCCAGTCTTGGAGTTTTGTTTTCCTTTTCTTAACAATATCTTTTGAAGAACACAACTTTCAAATTTTGATGCATTTATCATTATTTTCTCTTTGAATCTTGTTTTTGATGTTGTATACAAGAACTCTTCACCTAACCACAATCATGCATATTTTCTAGTCATCTAGTTTTAGTTTTTTACTTTTGGTGTATGGTCCATTTTAAAGTATGTTTTAAAATTGCTTTCAGTAGCACATATAATCTATCTTAGCTGATTAAGAACTACATCTATGTGGTGGAGTATTATGCTGTTGTTTGAAAGCCTGAAGTATATCTATAAAGGTAGTATAGAAAAATCTCTAGAATACATTGCTAAGTGTAAAAAAGCAAGTTATGGTGTACCATGCCATTTCTGTGTATGTTTGTATTGAGGAGGAGGAGGTTGGTATAAAGGATGGAAAGTTTGTGTATATCTAAAAAAAAAAGATAAAAATCTATTAATGTTGGTCATTGGGGTAAAGGGAATTTTGACTTAAAATGGTTACATTCTTCTGCATTTACTTGTCTTTCATGGGCAAGTATTTTTTACGAAATAAGCAAATATAAAAAGTAAAAAAATTGACCCTGGATAATTTTTAGACATAAAAATAAGGAAAATAAATTTATTTCACTTTTTATAGACTTGCTGTTTATAATTACTAAGCAAAGGAAGACTCATTTTCTTTCATTTACCCAAAAATATCAAATTATAGGTACCATATGGTTTTAAATCATCTAGGGAAGTTGAATTTCTTACAACCCAGTATGAAAAAGTTTAATCTTGTTTGAAATGAATGTTTATAAGAAGTTGGCAGATATCAGTTGTGATTTGAACTTAGAATCTGGCCATCTATTTAATTGAATATCATGAAGCAAATAATATTTTGTTTTTGAAATATTTTAATGACATAAGAAAATACTCATCATGTAATGTTAAGTGAGATATATATGAGTCAACTTTCTTGAAAAAGACAGGAAATATAGAAATGTACCAATGATGATTAGCTTAGGGTCATGGGATATTTGGTGTTTTTTGAAAAATTTTTTGAATATTTCAAAGTAAATTTTAGAAATCTTCCTACAATAAATAAATTCTTTAATTATAAACTGAAGACATACTTAACAGAAAATCAGAAAATACAGATAAGCACAGGTTAAAAAAAGACAGAAGAACATCCACTGAGCCAGAACCCATCACTCTCATTTCTTTGAAATATGACCTTATATCTCTTTCTGTATATTTCCTTAGAGAAGTTAGATTTTTTAAAGTAAGATGATTGACATTTTATCTCTCTTCCTTCCTCCCTCAAGTTCTTTTTTCCTCCCTCCCTCATTTCCTTTGTTTCTACCCTTAACCAGTCTTTTATTAAAATGTTACTTTTTTTTATTGGTTGGTAAGAGCTCTTTAAATATCTTCATCTTTTGTATATCATCTGTGTTGCTTTTATTTTCCTCGGTTTCTTAGTTACCTTTTAATTTCATTTAGAATTCTTCTTTATGTTTGAGACTCAAGAGCATTAAATGTAATGTAATCATATCTATTTCTCTCTTTTTTGAATTATGCTCTTGTTTTATGGTTAATAATTAATTCTATAGTTATGCTGATTATTTCTGTGTTTCCTTTCAATTCCTTGAAGATTTAATATTATTTACTTGTTTTTAAACCCAGTTTTTACTTTTGTTAAGTACTATAGTAAAAAAAAGTCAAACTGTTCCATAACAAGGGAGGGTAAACAGAGCATTCCTTAGAGGCTCCATCTTACTCTTGCTTGGCTTTATCAATTTTTTGATATTCTCTTTGATTTCCATTAGGAAAGGGTAGGTTTTTTTTTTTTTTTTTTTTTTTTTTTATATCAGCCCTTCCTTTTGCACATACTTCCCCAGATACACTTTGTTAATTAAGACACATACTTTGGTTAATCAATAACCATTTGCATATGGTTTGATCGCTTTTTTGTACAGTGCTTTACTTTTCTTATTTATTTATTTAATTTGTTCTAATCACTCAGTGCTTTACTTTTCTTGTGGAATTTCTATATAGCAATTGAGACTTCTTCTCACTTAACTATAAGATCTGATTTCAGTGCTCTTTGTCCATATATTTTCCAGGTTCAAATTGAAAGATAATATGTCAGTTATATCCCACCTTTCCTGTGAACTGTACTTAATTTAATTTATTATTTTCAGGAGAAAACATAATAAAATAGACTTCTTTCTAAAGCAAATTGAAAGGTTTATGGAGCCTGTTAGCTGATCCACATTGTTGATGGTACCCTGTGCCTCTTCCCTTATTGATGTGTATTATATCAGCTCTGCACATGCTTCCATCTCGTTGCTTCCTCTGAAAGCTGCAATAAGTCTCCCTTGACAGGCTGCTTAGGGCATCTACAAGACATTTGGCCTTTTGGTGACTTATGCTTTTTGGTTGTGATGTGATGGGCTAGGGTGATCCATCATCCCACAATAATAATGTCAGTGCCTTCCTCAGTGAGCCCAAACCCTTTTGCAGAGTGTGAATAATGTTGAGATCAATGCCTTTTTTGGTTGCTGAGATGGGAAGAATTGACGTACTTGTCTCTTAAATATCAGCTTTGGCACATTGAATGGTTGGAGGTGAGGCCACATTATCCCTCTGTGTGCCTAAGAGGAGCTTTAGGTTGGTAATGTTTGTGCTTCCTCTTATGTCCAAGTCTTCTCTGGTTTCTGCTTCTATAGTTCACAAACAGAAAGGCAAGTCATTTTATAGGGTAAGAAAGGACATTGTTGCACTTCTTTGTTCTGTTAGGAGTGATGGTTTGATACATAATCACAAGGCATTTAAAGGTAGGTATTGAGAAGACAAAAACTGGAATTGTCATTGTTTCTTCCATTTTACTTAGCATATATGTTGTCCCAATCTCACTGGGTGAATCTAGAAGGGTCCTGATCAAGGGTATAGTTTGCAAGGATCATGTGCTTGCAGTGCCCACATTCTTCCTCTAGCTTAAGCCATCCTGCTTAGTATTTATTGTTTTAAAAAAAAAAACACATTGGAAATAGAACATCCTAGGTGGTGAGAGGATGACATCTATGGATGTCATATGAAAATTAGTTAAGGAGATTGGCAAAGTGCAGCCAGATATGAAAGTTTGTCCTTTTTTTTAAAAGGAAATAGGTTTTATTCTCTTGTGTCTGAGGGAAGAATTAGAATCATGGATTTTAGAGGGGGAGGGCTGATCAAATGAAAGCAGTGGCTTAGTGGTGCTCCTTGAAAATGTGGCATCAAGGAGAAGAGAAAGTCAGAGGTAAGAGGGAAGCCCAGGCAGAAGCTGACCTGGAATAGGAAAGTCTAGAATAAGGAAGGCAAAACCAGAAGATAGCAGGGAGGCATTAAGATGAGTGGAGCATGGTGGCATAGGCAGTAATTCCTGCCACTCAGGAGGCTGAGGCAGGAGGAACACAAGTTGGAGGCCAACCTGGGCAACTTCGAGAGACCCTGTCTCAAAGAATAAAAGGGACTGGAGAAGAAACTCATTGTAGAGCACATGCCTAAGCATTTGCTAGGTCAAGGATTCATTCCCCAGTAAATGCTTCTGCATTCTGTTATAGGTACTTTCGGCATCTAACATCTGGGGCAGTTTTGTACTTACAATGGCATAGATTTAATAATTCATGTACATAAGATGACTTTTGATGAAATTGGGGTACTCATAAGTGTGACTTTGATAGTAATGTAATACTTAAAACAGACTGAATAATTGGATATAAACATTAACTAATGTTTATTAAACTATATTAACATTAAACTAATACTTAAATTTCCAAGTTACTTGCTTTTTCATTTTTTTTTTGTTTTAGGATACCAATGGATATTATAAAGGGAAACCTAGATGGGATTTCAAAACCAGCCTCAAATTCAAGAACACGTCCTGGGAGCAGAAGTTCAAATGCAAGTTCTCTGGAGGTGCTCTCACCAGAACCAGGTTCCTTCAAGGTGATTTGCTTCTGAATTCCTTCTCTCAGAATTAGTAACTGATGAAACCAATCTTTTTGTTAACATTCCCCCTTATTTTTCCTCTTTAAAGGGCATTTTCAGGAAGCATTCACAGATTTCTTGGATTTTACTTGAGTGTTTAATATGAAAGTACTCTGACTCCTTTCTTCCTTCCCTTCTTTATTTTGGAGTGTGGTTTATTTGTTCACGTTGTAATTTGTTAAAAGTTTGATGACTTTTTAGAAAGTGTTGACTTTTTTTTACTTCATAAGGAAAATTTGTATTCCAATATCTAATATGTATCCATCAACATTTACCATGAAAATGATTCAGTATTTAAAAAAATGGTTTGAAGCCATGTGGTCTGTTTGTTAGGTGTATTATCTGTTCATAACTTTCTTTTATATTCTCTCTCTTTTTCTTGTAGTACGTCTTCTTTAATTAAAATATCTCAACTGATTTTTAAAAATAATCAGTTTTCTCAAGTCTGATGTGGTATAATTTATTCCTTTTAAGTTTGTAGAGGAAAAAATTTTAAATTTATGATGAAAAAAATCTCTGCAAGTTAATGAACTCATACTAACTTTTTTGTTATTGATTTATGGATTAGACTTTGCATTATGGAACTCGAGAGTTTTTGTCTATCATGATTTAGTGTAAGAAATAGCACTCTAGATATTTCTAGCAGACAAGATTTGACTACAAAAATCCAGTTCCTCAAAACCAACAGAAGGCCAGCAGGAAGTGTAGTCCAAGGAGAGAGCTTCCCCTGGATTATTGGTTCCCACGTCACACCACTATGCTGCAATACAGAGATCAGAAAACTGCTACTGCTGCTGTTTCTAGCATTGCCACAAGCTTCTCATAACTACAAAGCTGGTAACTAGACATTCAGATATGACCATCTTTGATATATTTTGCCAGATTCCTATCAGGATCCTAGATGGTTTCTACCCCACTTTTGCTTTCCACCTTGGGCAGGTACATCTAAGTAGATGATCCTAACATGCTTCTAGAAGCCTCCTGTCAAGTGACTTTGTAAAATACAGTTTCTGCCTGAGCTCTCTGTTTTTGTTTCATCTAATCTTATATTATTACTATATGGTGTGTTAACTCTTGTAGCTTTACTAAATAATTACTAAAATCTGATAGAGTGGTTTGCCTCATCTTATTATTTTTTTCAGGACTGTCTTAGCAATCTTTGGTTTTTTGTTCTTCTAGATATATTTTAGATCAGCTTTTTAAGTTCTAAAAATACTGTTGGTTTTTTAAAAAAATTTTTTAGTTATGCATGGGCGCAATATCTTTATTTGCTTATTTATTTTTATGTGGTGCTAAGGATCGAACCCAGAGTCTCACACGTGTGAGGTGAGCACTCTACCACTGAGCCACAACCCTAGCCCCTACTGTTGGGTTTTTAAAAAATATATATATATTTTAGTTCTAGCTGGACACAATATCTTTACTTCACTTATTTATTTTTATGTGGTGCTAAGGATCGAACCCAGAGTCTCACACGTGTGAGGTGAGCACTCTACCACTGAGCCACAACCCTAGCCCCTACTGTTGGGTTTTTAAAAAATATATATATATTTTAGTTCTAGCTGGACACAATATCTTTACTTCACTTATTTATTTTTATGTGGTGCTGAGGATCAAACCCAGGGTCCCACATGTGTGAGGCAAATGCTCTACCACTGAGCCAAAACCCCAGACTCTGTTGGGGTTTTGATTTAAATTATTTTGAATATGTAGATTAATTTGGGGGAGAATTTATAGCTATATGATTTTAAATCCTCCCTTCTAACATTGTGACTCATTTTATCTCTTATTAACATCTATTTTTTAATTAAAAATTTTACATACAGTAAAATTCACTTTTTGGTGTATGGTTCTGTGAGATCTGGCAAATAGAGTGATGTGACCATTATTATAATCAAGATATAGAACAGTTTTGTAACTCCTCAAAAAATTCCCTTGTTCTATTATTTGTAAATAATCACCTCCCAGCCTTAATTCCTGAAAATTATTAATCTATTTTCTGTTCCTGTAGTTTTTCTTTTTTTAGGAGGTCATATACATAGAGTCATATGGTCTTATTTTATCTCCTAATGTAAATACTGCCTTTGAGAAGCATCAACTTAGTTGCATGTATCAAAGTTAATTTTTTTTCATTGCTGAGTATACTATGATTTGTTTCCTGGTTGAGGAACATTTGAATTAAATCCAGTTTTTAGTGATTATGAATAAATTTGTTATATATATATATATATATATATTTGATTACAATATAATTTTGTAGGTAAATAAGTTTTTATTTCTCTTGAGTAAATACCTAAGAGTGATATTTATGGACTGGATGATAAGTATATGTTTAACAATAAGTGTTTTCTGTTTCTACCAGTGATGTACAAGAGTACTTGTTGCTCTGCATCCTTGCCAGCAGTTGGTTTAATCAGTTTTTTTTTCAAGCCTTTCTAATAGACATATAATAGTATCTCAGTGTAGTTTAACTTATATTTCTCTAGTGATGAATAGAATTCATAATGTTTCATGTGTTTATTTGAAATCCATATATAGTTTTTGAAAAATGTCTATTCATATTTTTTGTTGAATTGTTTAAACTATATTTCTTTTTTGTTGACTTTTGAGAGTTCTTAAATATGTTCTAAATAGAGTCTGTTGTCAGATATATGACAGTATTTTGTCCCAGTCAATGGTTTGACTTCTCATTCTTTCAACTGTGTCTTTTAGAGCATAAACATTTTACATTGTAAGAACATTTTACCATGTTTTTTTCTTTTGAGATTGTGATTTTGGCGTTGTATCACAAAACTGTCTAACTCAAAGTTCTAAAGATTTCTCTCCTGTTTTTCTCTGACAGTTTATAGTTTGTTTGCATTTAGACCTATGATTCATTTTTAATTAATTTTTATGTTATGTCATGAAGTATAGGTCAAGGTTACTTTTTTATAAGGATATATATTTGTTAAATATTAATATAGCAGCTTCAAATAATTTTTAACCTTCTTGTGTCTTTATGTTTTAAGTTAGATTTTGTTTATTTTATTTAATTGGAAAATCTCTTTTAAACTAGCGGGTAAAATGTACATTTTTTTTTCATTTTATCTAATCTGTAAAATATATGTTTAAATAACATTTGAATTTATCTAGCATCTTGGTTTTTTCCTTGCATTTTATTAATATTAACTGATTATTTATATTTTTCTCTGTTTCAGTTTACTGATTTGAAAATTATATTTATGTTCTTTCCTTAGAATTTGATGAACAAATTCTAAAGTTTACCAATATTTCTTTTTCCTTCTAAAAAATGCAAAGACTTTAGATATTATATTGTCACTTTTTCTAATTTACATGTAATTATTATTCTCTCTGGATATTATTTTCATCATTATTGTTTATGCTTTAGTTTCAATTTACTTATATGTTTACTGTTTTTTTTTGTTTATCCTTGCTTTTTGGAAAAATAAATCTTCTATATTCTATCTTTAATCTTCATTTTGTAATATCTGTATCTATTGATCAGTTTATCTACATCTTTTAGTAATCTTTCTTTGAGAACCCATGAGTGGCAAATACTAAATTTGCTTTAGAAAATGTGTTCATTTTCTAGTTTGACTATTTTTTTTTTAACAAAGCACTTTGAAGCTATCACACATTTGGTTTGTGGTTCTCTTGTGGTCAATGAAAAGGCTTTTGTAGACCTAATATATTCATTCTGCTGTAGGTTGCCTGGCTTAGTTTTATTTAGTTGTTTTAATTTTTTCTCTTTGTGTTTGGTGTCCATTGTTACTTACCTAGGATGGGTTTACATAATTTCTCCTTCTGGAGACTAGAACTTCTAAAAGGATTTGTTGTTTTCCATTTATTTTGGAAAATTTTAAGCCATATTTCAAATGTTAAATTACTTTTATGTTTTCAAATTTTCACATTTCTAACTTTCCCTATATAGTTTTTCTGTTTTCTCATTCTAGAAGTAATATTAAATATCTTACTTTTATATCTTTTATATCCCTTTTCTTTTTGATAGTTTCTAATCATTTATCTTTCTGTGCTTTATTGTGAGTAATTTGTAACATACACTTTTTGGGTTTGGAATTATTTCTTAATATATCAAGTCTGTTTTTCAGACTACCCATTGAATTTAAAAATTTAATAAAGTGTTTTTTTTCTGGAAGCTCTTTATAGTTTTTTTTTTTAATTTTTCTGTTCTTGACAGTGTCTTGGCTTTTTCTCAAGACTTTTGATTCTTCTTTTTGCCTTTATAATCCTTTCTGAATTGGGTATTTACAATTTAGTTTTATTCTCTACATCTGTATTCTCCTATGTTTAAGTGGGGTACTAGCACCTATAGCATTGGGTCATTGTGAGTAGTGAATGGCACAGTGTATATAAAGTACTTAGCACTGGACATGGTTGATTGCAATTCGTCAATAAATGTTGGTAGTGATTATTATATACTGACAACTCAGTTCTGCTAGGTTTATGTTTCATGTCAGGCAAAGGTGCTTGCCCAGGGAACTGCATTCCTAGCATTTTAATTCTCAGTAGCACCCATTTTCTGTCCTGGAGATTTGCATTGCCGTAATGCAGAGTTGAGCTTGTGGCTATATGGACAACAAAAACCTTCCAATAGCTGAGGCAGGAAGGGCTAGAGCAGACAGTCTTTCATTGGGAAAGGAAAGGTATTTCCTTGAGAAGTGGCTGACCCTCTCTACCTGAGACCTCAACTCTCTTGGGCTCTGTTCACTTCTGTTGCTTCAAAGTCCTGTGATCTCTGTTTTCTCCTGACCCCCAGTCATGATGTCTTTTCTTGTTTTCTCTCAGGAAAATGCAACTGTGCCAAACTGGTGTTTGCAAAGTGAACTTTGCTAAAATATAAAGGGAAACCAAGATGAAATGGAAAAAAATATGAATGGTATAAAAATAAATAATCAAAGCACAGTATTCTGATGATAAGATTCTCATTAGAAGCACAGCTCAATTCAGATTAGTCACTTTTCAGCCATTTGATAGTGGAAAATAACTGTTATATTGGACAGCACAGCTCTAGATCTCTGACTGCTCACCCACATATGAGCTCAAAGGGGTTCATCGTGTATCATCTCAAGAGCCTGGCTGGTAGCAGTTCACTTTAGGATTGATTTTGATCCTTCTCCATTATTGATAGAGATTGTTGGAGAATGGTAGATATTTGGTTTAGATGTTATTAAATTTGTGTAGTTAAGTTACATTTAAGTAAACTTCGTTATATTTCTAGATATTTTAATGACAGTGTATATATTTAAATATGTCTCTACATATGCTTCCATTAGTGTTAAATATTTGAAAATATCATATTTTAAGAAAACAAATTATGTTATTTCAATGTCCTTTAGTCCAGCAGGAGAAAATACATTATTTTTGGAAATTTTTTAAAAATTATTTTTAGGTTGATACTGTAAGCACATTGAATTCTGTTAAGGAGGACCACTCAGAAAGCAGTAATACAGAGGAAGGAAGATATAATAATGATGATAAAGGGGCAAACTACTCTGAGAAAATAAAACTGGCTAAACAGGGGCCAGTTGAAGATCTGGACTTGATTCAACATCAGATGACCCCCGAATGTTCAGGTAGGATAATCACAAGTTGATTGGATAATGATAACTACAGATATTTTATTTAAATTATTAAGATTATATGTGTTTTTATCAACTAAGTAGAAACAATAAACTAAAAAATAAGGAGGCATAATTACATTTTTGTAAGAGAATGATCACCAGTTTTTACTTATAAGAACATTAAGAGCCCTTAAATATATTTAGAAATGCAATAAAATATGACATTTAATAAAATTGTTTTCATGTTCAGTTTACAATAATCAAGTAGGGATTATTTTGTATATTATGGCATGATTTATGGATCATTTTGATTACCAAAATTCCTATAATTTGTAAATGCCCTTTTTAGGGCCAATCCCACTCAAAATTGATAACATTTTGATTTTAAATGTACCTTTTTTCCATGCAATTGAATTAATTCTGGTCAGATAGAATTAGAAGAGCAATTCTGAAATGTGATCTGCAGAGCCCTGGGAAGACCCTTGTGGGGGCTCTGCAGAATGAACACAGTTTTTATAATTGCACCGAGATGCTGTTTTCCTCTTTGTCCACTGTGTCAATATTGGCACTGATAGTATAAAAACAATGGTGGGAAATATTCTGGTGCCTTGGCATGAATTGAGACAGTGGCACCAAATTGTATTAGAAATCACTGTGTTTTTACAACCAGTTACTGGCAAGAAAAATAAATAACCAGTTCACTCAGGATGTCCTTAATGAAGTAGTAGAAAATATTAATATTATTAGATCTTGAGCCAGTATACATCATCTTAATATCCTGTGTGGCAAGAAAGTAGACATAAAAGAATTTTGTGTATTATAAGGTAGGAAGGTTGTGTTGAAGAAAAGTACTTGTGTGATAACTTGAACTGGGAGCTAAACTGCCCAATTTTTTGTGGAACACCATTTTTACTTGAAATAACAACTGACAGGCAAACTGGTATCATTCAGACTTTTGTATTTGGCAGACTTATTTTTTCTTTTAAAGATAAAGCAAGTCTTATACTTCAAGGAAAACTACTATAGTATTTGCTACTAATGATAAAATTTGAGCATTCTGCTACTAATGGTAAAATTTGAACATTCACATGAAAATTAGAATTTTGGAAAACTTGTGAATGTTATTCAATAGCTTATCAATACTTAGACTTTTTTGATAAAAATAGGTGGTAATATTAACAAATGTGACTTTTGAATATTGTATAATGAAATACGTTTATATTTTGAATGTGTGCATAATTCTGTTAGCCACTACTTTCCAAATGGCAAATGCAGGATTAAAGATCCATTCAACAAGAAAGACAGAGCCAAAGATTTTAGTGGAACAAACTCAGAAAGCTCACTGATATGGTTACAGGTTTCACACTACAATTAACCTTTAAGAAGCTACCCCTGACAAGTTTTGGTACAGTACTAAAGAAAAATAACTAGTTATTTGATAGACTACTAAATTTCTCCTCTTTTCCCAACTACATATCTATGTGAGGCCAAATTTTCCTCATGTTCTTCAATCAAAACATAAAATTACAATAGGTTGTAGAAGTACATATGAGAATCTAGATGTTTTCTATTAATCCAGATATTAAAAGTTGAAAATAATGCTAGTCTTCTCACTAATATTTTGCAAGACTAATAGTTATGTTAACATGTAATTAATAATACTTTGTTTACTATTATTTAAAATGAATAAATAAATGTATTTTACAATAATTTTCAGTTCTGCTTTCTAAGATGGTAATTATAAAAAGATCTAATCTACATACATGAAGACTACTTTGGGCTCTCAATAATTTTGAGGTGGTGAAGAGGACTATGACAAAAAAGTTTGAGAGCTGCTAATTTAGAATATGGTTGGGATGAGATGAGTTCTTAAAGTTAGGTAGGTGACTCAGGATTACATTTATCAGGAAATAAGATATTATATTTGAGATTAGCTATTGGCCCAGTCTACATGGTATTTTAAAATATATTTTTAGTACTGTGTGAATTACTTAAAAATGCCTATTATATAGACTACTTAGATGGAGCTTGAGAATGCTAGGATTGGTAGTTGGGAATTAGAACTAAAGAGTATTACATTTGAATTATATAAACAATAAGATTTGAGGATACTCCTTATTGATAAGATTAATATTCTTTTTGAATAAACTTCCTTCTTCTAAAAATATCTCCCTCTTTTTTTTTCCTTAAAGAGGAAGCAATGTATGTTATGGGGACACATCACTGGTCTCTTTGGGTTTTCAAAAATTGCTAAATTTGGCCTCATTTAGCATAATATGCCATTTAAAGTGATTTGTCTTGAGATGACTAAGACTTAATACTTGAACATTTATGCTCATTGCCAGAGAACCAAATTTCATCAGATTTCATGGAGGGTGTGTTATTGCTTGGTGGCTAAGAGCTGGAGTCAGACAGATATGGGTGGAACTGACTCTATATTTACTAGTTATATTACATGTATGAACTCAGGTACAGATTAATGTCAGTTTACTAATTTTTAAAATGAAGACAATGACTATGCCACTTTACAGAGTTAAGGTGAGTGTTAAATGAGTAATGCATGTAAATAAAGCTCTTAATGTGCCACAGGTCACTCTGTAAGCTGCCATCATTATCATTAATTCTAAATTAAAATTTGAATGATGGAAGATCATTTTTTATTTTGGTACCAGGGATGGAACACAGGGGTGCTTAACTGGGAGAGCAACAACCTCAGTTCTTTTTATTTTTTATTTTGAGACAGGATCATGCTAAGTTGCTTAGGGCCTCGGTAAATTGCTGAGATTAGCCTCAAACTTGCAATCCTTCTGCTTTAGCCTCCTGAACCACTGGGATTACAGGTGTGTGCCACCATTCCTGGTAGTCAAAGCATTTTTAAGTGCTTTAAGAAGTTAGAAACATGGAGGGGCATGGAGAAAAGTGTCTGCCTACATTAGGTACTTATTAGAGCTTGTTTCTTCTGTATGTTGAACCACTTTGTGTTGCTTATGATATACTACTTTTTTTTTAAGGGGTGGGGAGGGAGAGAGAGAATTTTTAAATATTTATTTATTTATTTATTTAGTTTTCAGCGGACACAACATCTTTATTTGTATGTGGTATTGAGGATCAGACTCAGCGCGGCCCGCATGCTAGGCGAGCCCGCTACCGCTTGAGCCACATCCCTAGCCCTGATATACTACTTTTTACTGTAGCTCTCTATACATGCCTTCACTTTCTCGAGAAAGAGTTTGGAGTCTTCAGCAATTTTAGGATAGGATATATGTCTTATTCCTTATTTACTATTTGTTAATCATGGATAGGGAATGTATAGAAGAAGGAAGGAGAAAATTTGGGATTTAAAATAATAAGGGAACAACTTATGAAAAGGCCCAGTTATCTCAACTGTAAAATAGAGACAAATGTCTATTTTGCAGAGTTATTAGATAATTATATGAAAAAAATACATGAAAGTACCTTGTAAATCAAGTTGGTTACATGACATCAATACAATAGTTACTATCATCACTATACATAGTTTTTAAGTCAAAGAATAAAGATTAAAAACAATAAAACTTTATGGATTTATTAAACTTCAAACCTGTTTCTACTTTCAACACAATATAGATGAAACCAAATTAAAAGAAGTAGACTCTCAACTTCAAGATGCTATTTATAAAATGAACAGACTTGATAAAATATTGGCAAAAAAACAATACAGAGAAAAAGAAATTAAGAAGCAAGGTCTAGAAATGAGAATAAAGTTGTGGGAAGAACTTAAGGTAAGAATTGTACAACTATATGTCAATATGTAAGAACCAATTTCCTCTAAGAGAATAAGAAAAGCATGGACTGTGATAGTGTTAATGTGGTCTGCCTTTGTTATTTTGTGGAGGTGGTGACATAGCATGAATATGTGTGTATGTGCTGGGTACAGGGGTGAAATGTTTCTGGAACAAGACTTTGGGCACTGTGCTAGCATGCTCATTGACCTGTCTTACCAGTGTCAGGTTAGAGCTCCTCAATCTCTGGAACAGGGAAGTGTATGATGTCTGCTTTCATCAAGAATGTATATTTGCTTTTTCTTCAGTGAGCTTACATTTTGGAGATAAACAGGAAAATACACAAACATTGAATTCCCTAGTTAGTTTATTACTTGAGTAACATTTATGACAATCAAGTTGGGAGTTTACTGTTTCATGTGTTGGTCAAATCTCTTCAGGAAGCTATAAGGTACTTGAGGAATGAGCCATGCTCAAATTGTTTTTGTTTCAACAAATTTCTGGTGCTTCATTAACATTGGCTCTCTTGGACTTCTTATTTTCTGTAGTATTAAGGGGTTGAGGTTGACCAGATGTTGTTACTGATTTGGTATAGAGCCATTGACTCTTATTTGTATTTTGCCCCTGAAAGGAGAGCACCTGTGAGATAGGAACCTTGTGGTAATAAATTGGTTGTTTTTGATAAAATCATTCTTAATCATCTAATGACTTCAGAGGAAATTTCCTAGGCCTAGGCAGTATTATGAATTAAGAAGGAAATAATTGTGAATACATTTTTTACAGAGATCTCAGGAAGGCCATTGAGATGAAAGAAAGCAACCCCAAATGCAGTGTTTTAAACTAGAAAAATGATTTCCATAAATCTTAGCAGAAAAAGTTAGTTTATCACTTTTTCCTATGGAAACTCAAATTGTTTTTATTTCCTTTGAAATAAGAATTATAAATAGAAACAGTAATATACTTGAAATGTCTGAAATTTCAATTTGATTATACCTTTAGATTACTCTTTAGTTATAAAAATATCTAACAGAAACTTAAGTTTTTTTAAGCAAAGTGATTTATCATATATTGATGATAGACATATATTTCAACTCTATCTGGAAATATCTATTGACACAATTTTGTGGAAACAGGAAATATTAACAAATTTCTTACTTAAAGGAATATGAATGGCCTGAGGATTCTTGTTTGTATGTATATGATAGGAAACTATGCTATAATTAAAAAATCAGTGAGTATAGCTATCTTCTTGTTTAAATTTTAATTTTTATTTCATAGTCTGCAAAAAATAGTGAAGCTTTGCAAAGTAATGAGGAGTTGGAAAATACAAAGAAATTTTTATCTTTGACTGCTGCATCTGAAGAAACTGTTGGTGAGTAGATGTCATTCATCCTTGTTTTTATCTGAGTCAGACAAGGTTTGGATTAAAGTTAAATTCCTGATCCAAAATTTCCCCTTTTCTTCGTGAATTTGACTCTTCTTTAGAGGAAATATGATATGAAATTACTCTGAGCTTAGGTATGTTTCATTGTGTTTAAGTATTTGTATCTTAATAGAGCGTGGAAAAATTGAGAAACAGGCCCACTATGTCTTTGCCCTTACTTTCTGTCCCTGTTTGATTCTTCTAGAGGATATTTTATTCTGAAAGTCCTCTATCTCACCAGGTAAAACACTCAGGCCTATGCAACCCCCTTCATAAAAATCTACTTCTGATATATCCTATTATCTTACATTCATAGTTTTTCAGACTAACCAATTAGTTCTGCACATGTATTTCTACTTATCCCTTTGTGTGTATGTGTAAAATTGTGAATGTTCTTTTCAAATACAAATATGATGTAGTCATATATTCTTAAACCCACTTACTTAATGGTGAAACTTTTAGAGAGTGGAAGCAGTTGATATGTTTTGCTTGGCTACTTTTGGAATCCTTTAGTCAATATCCCATAGGTAGTCTTTGTGGTAGAAGAGCTCTAAGCAGTGTCCTGAGTTCTCTCAGAATACTGGGATCTTTTTTTCTTATATAAAGTGAATGTCTAACATTGTAGAACTTCAAAAATCTGATTCAGACTACCGAAGCACTTTTAGTGGAACAATAGTCTATCTTTGTTGTGAATAATATTCCTTCAGGTTTATTCCTTTCTGGACTAGTATTAAGAGCTCAGAAGCTGCTAGGGCTTGAGAGATTTGAGTTTATAGTGCACCAAAATGTTTCTCCTTAAGAAGATGGGTGTTTCATCTGGGTTGCCCCTTCTGTAATGAAGAACTTTAAAAAAAATGAATCTTTCAAAATTTCAACTTCTTAGATCCATAGCTGGAGTGACCTTATTGAAATTTACCTTGCCATTTGTATATCCTAATTGAAACAACAAAAAATTAGCTTCTCTATATTAAAATCCTAGATAGTTTACTTTCTGCTGCTTCTACCTTATTATAGAAGTAACAGGGGTAATTGTGTTGGAAAACATGGGTAAACAGAATGAAAAAAATTGCTGTCACCTAAATTGTCAACATGCAGAAATAATCACTATTAATAATTTGGTTTATTATTTTTGATAATTTGGTTTATTATTTTTCTTTTGAGACATGTTTAGTGTAAACATCTGTATCTACCTACCTATCTATCTAAGGATAAAAATGGGATAAAATTGGATTTATGGTGTTTTTTAAGCTTTTTCTCCACTGGTTTGTATCTCATGAACCCCTTTAACTGTTACTAAGAATCTGTGTGGTAGCTTGTTTCCCAAATGGCTGCCCTCAGTGCCTTCCCTCTATGTACTTTCATTCTATTCCTCATTAAGAGATATAATTTCTCCTATTTCTCCCGCCCTTTTCAGTCTGGGCTAGCCTGGAATAACTTTGACTGATATAGCCAAGGCAATACTATGCCATTTCTAGGCCTTGCCTTTAAGAAGACTGGCAATTTCTGTTTCTTTTCCTGGCTTTTGCAGATGAAAGCTAAGCCACCCTGAATCTGCTGTGCTGTGAGAAAGCCCAGACAGGTCATGAGAAAGGTTAGGCAGAGAGAAAATAATTCTGGCCAGTTCTAGGATATAATGTCCCCCTCAAATTCATGACTACCTGGAATTGCAGAATGTAATTTTATTTGGTAATAGGGTCTTTACAGATATACTTAGTTAAGATGAGGCATAATAGAGTAGGATGGACCTAAATCCAATGACTGATGTCCCTTATTTTCATAAAATAAGCGTAGGAGAAGACATAAAGATATAGAGACACCAAGATACAGGGAAGAAGGCCTGTAAAGATAGAGGCAGAGACAGGAGTTATGTAGCTACAAGCCAAGGACTACCAAGGATAGCTGGGAGCCACATAAACTAGGAAAATGCAAAGAAGGAAATTCTCTGGCAACACTGTGATTTTAAATATCTAGAGAATAAATTTATATTGTTTTCAGCCACCTAGGCCCTGGTAATTTGTTACAGCATCCTTAGGAAAATGATTTACCAGCTGTTCTAATTATCTCAGTGCCGGCACTAAAGTTGTGAATTAAGAAGGAACTGTAAGCTGGGCATGGTAGCTCTTGCCTATAATCCCAGTGGCTCCAAAGGCTGAGGCAGAGGATCACAAGTTCAAAACCAGCTTCAGCAACTTAGTGAGGCACTAAGCAACTTAGGGAGACTTTGTCTCAAAATAAAACATAAAAAGGGCTAGGGATGTTGTTCAGTGGTTAAATGTCCCTGGGTTCAATCCTTGACACACACACACACACACACACACACACACACACAAACACATGTTCAGTGGTTAAATGTCCCTGGGTTCAGTCCTTCACACACACACACACACACACACACACACACACACACACACACAAAAGTAACTGTGGACATTTCAGACTGAGAAAACACCACAGAAAATTACCAAGGCAAGACATTGAGCTGCACCAGATTTCTACAACCAAATGCAGGACCTAGCCAGTCAAGGCCCCTTTCCTAAGAGAAACTGCTATAGGCATCAAATTCCTAACCCACAGAAGCATGAGCATGGTTCCATGGTGATTGTTTTATGCTATCAAGTTTTATTTTTTATTTTGAAATAGGTATAGTTCTTATATACCCTTGCCTAAGCTTCGTCTAATGTTAATGTTTTGCATTACCATAGTACTATAATCAAAACTAAGAAATCAACATTGCCACAGTACTGTTAATTAAACAGTAAACTTCTAAAAATGTACCAGCTTTCCCACCGATATCCTTCCCATTTTTTAGCATCTAACCCAGTACCCCATATTGCATTTAGGTATTATGACTCCTGTCTCCTCTAATCTGTGATGGTACCTCAGTCTTTCCTTGTCTTTTGTGACTCTTTTCGAGAGTAGTTATTTTCATAAATATCCTTAAATTTTGGTTTGTGTGATGTTTTCTCATGATTAGATGAAGATTATTCATTTTTAGTAGGTGAATCTCAGAAATTATGTGTCCTCCCTCAGTCACACTTGGGATTCATAATGATGATATATTATTGATTGTGTTAACTCTAATCACTTAGTTAAGTGCCTGCTGGATTTTTCCACTGTAAGGTTACTATTTTTCCTTTTGCACTTAATAAATGTCCTGGGGGGAGCTACTTTAAAGCTATGCAAATATTCAGTTTCTCTGTAGATTTCTGCCTACTAATTTTAGCATTAATCAGTACATCTTACTTGAAGTAATTATTACCATATGCTGTGAAATTTTGGGTGATTTTTAATGCATAATAGAAAACTGGAACAATTTATATCAGCATTATTTTAAATGGCCATGTGTCAATTTAACGTGTGTATGTGCCATCATTTGTTTAAACCCTGATGTCTAACATTTAGTTTTTTTTAAAATTACACAACAGCTGCAGTGATCTTCAACATGCTGAAGATTTGGGCCTACTTTTTCTTCTGTTAGGTGCAGAGTCTCTCTCTCTATATATAAGAGAAATTACTTAGTCAAAGGGTGTTGGACTTTTAAAAAATTTTCTAACCATATTAATTATTGAAACCAATTCAGACTTCTACCAACATTTGTATCTGAATATTGTTTTCCTAAACCCACAACAATGGATTTTATGATTATTTTAAGCTTTATTTACTTAAAGTGGAATTTTAAAAATTTGTCTCTCTCTGATTATCAGAGGTTAAATATTTATTTTTTTTCGCCATGCTGTGAATTGCTTGTTTGTATCTTAGTATCTCTTTTTTTCTTTCTTAGATATTTGTTCTTTTTAAAATTTTTCAATTTTAAATTTATTTATGTATTCTAACTTGTTATATGTGACAGCAGATTGCATTTCAACTCATAGTACACATATATAGCACAATTTTTCATGTCTCTGGTTGTTCATAAAGTAGAGTCACACCATTTGTGTCTTCATACATGTGCTTAGGGTAATGATGTCCATGGAATTCCACCATCTTTCCTACCCACATTATCCTTCCCTTCTCCTCCTTCCCCTTTGCCCTATCTAAAGTTTCTCCATTCCTCCCATACTTCATCCGCTCCCCCCATCCCCATATGGATCAGCATCTACATACCAGAGAAAACCTTTGGCCTTTGGTTTTTTGGGATTGGGTTACTTCCCTTAGCATAATATTCTCCAACTCCATCCATTTACCTACAAATGCCATGATTTTATACTCTTTTAATGCTGAAAAATATTCCATTGTGTATATATACCACAATTTCTTTATCCATTCATCTACTGAAGGGCATCTAGGTTGGTTCCACAATTTAGCTATTGTGAATGGTGCTGCTACAAACATCAGTGTGGCTGTGTCCCTGTAGTATGCTGTTTTTAAGTCCTTTGGTTATAAACCAAGGAGTGGGATAGCTGGGTCGAATGGTAGTTCCATTCCAAGTTTTCCAAGGAATCTCCATACTGCTTTCCAGATTGGTTGCACTGATTTGCAGTCTCACCAGCAATGTATGAGTGTGTCTTTTTCCCCACATCCTCTCCAACACTTATTTTTGTTTATGTTCTTAATAGCTGCCATTCTGATTGGAGTGAGATGAAATCTTAAGAGTAGTTTTGATTTACATTTCTCTTATTGCTAGAGATATTGAATATTTTTTCATATATTTGTTGATTGATTGTATGTCATCTTCTGAGAAGCATCTGTTCAGTTCCTTGGCCCAGTTTCTGGTTGGGTTATTTGTGTGTGTGTGTGTGTGTGTGTGTGTGTGTTTTTGATGTTACGTTTTTTTGAATTCTTTGTATATCCTAGAGATTAGTGCTGTCTCTGATGTGAGTGTGGTAAAAATTTGCTCCCATTCTGTAGACTCTCTATTCCCCTCACTGATTTGTTTCTTTTGCTGAGAAGAAGCTTTTCAGTTTGAATCCATCCCATTTACTTATTCTTGATTTTATTTCTTATGTTTT